TAGTCCCGATTCAAAAATACATTTGAACAAGCTGATGAAATGTCTAAAAAATCACATTCTTCTACATGTCATAGGTCCTTGATGGTGAGACATATTCTCAATTAATTCCATCAAAATGAATTTAAAATTTAAGTTATGTGTTACCTAATTTTTCCTCTACGAATCTGCTTGGATATTAAAACTTTGTTTTAAACATTAATTTTAAGTTTCGCACAAGAATGCATGGCAAAATACTCCTAAATAACAACATTTTGTATTTATTTATTTATTTTTAATGTTTTATATATTTTAAAAGTATAAAAAACCAAATTAATAGAGCGATTAATCAAACGATCAATCGCTAACACCGAAACTCTCTAAGAGTAACCAGTGGCGTGGCGTACTTCGCGATACATCGATTGATCTGCTATTTAAACGTATGGAAAAGGATCGATAAGCAAAAAGTTTGCTACAAACACCTTAATAATCGATTCTCTACCACAGCTTCAAATGGGAAAAATATCGATAATTGATCATTCACCCCTCGCCACTGAAAGGAACTATCCATTTTGACACGAGCCCTGTTATGCATGGACTCAGATGTCAGAATGGATGTAGTCCCTTTTGATTTAAATATATCCGTAAGTCGTCGCCCCTTTGACGTAACGGCGTATATCTCCAATTCCGCATGAGCCGCGGAAAGCATAGGGTTATACGGTACACAGGGCTCACGAGGAAATTGAGATACGCCCGTACGTCAGCATTGGCAGATTCAGAGAATTGGCAAAATTGTTTTTCTCCATTTGAACCTATGGAAATGTATCGATTCTTGAAGGGGCCAGGTGCTCCGAGAAAAATCGATTATTTAACATTGGTTTGAATGGAGGTAATTCTGTGTTGCCAAATTGCTGGATCCGCCCCTGTACGTCAGAGGAGCGACGATGTATTGTATGACGTCATGCAAATGGGTAACTGCCGCCATTAGCCATAGTCAACTAGTGGTCGGCGTATAAAACCAAGGCCACAACAATGGCAAAATCAACACAATATTTGGGTTAGTTTGTGATCCACTTCTCATATTTACCAAAAGTACATAACACTAGGAGAGATCGGGTCCGTAATGATAGAGTGCGTCAGATAATGGAAGTCGAAAATGACATCGTGTTCGACGTCATGACCAAACAACTTGTTTGGTATGGTCATGTCAATAGGATGACGGAAGAGAGGCTGCCAAAAAAGATGCTTGATTGGGTTCCTCCTGGGAGGAGACGTAGGGGACGCCCAGTGAGAGGTTGGCGACAGGGGGTGTTAAATGAGATAAGAGATTGTCAACTCCCTGATGACCTGTGGGAAGACCGAGCTTTGTGGCGATTAGGCGTCGCACAGCGCCAAAGAGCGCTATAAAAGCGACTCATATATATATATATATATATATATATATATATATATATATATATATATATATATACACATAACACTAAATTCAAATATTTCCTGCTGCGTGTGTCCAAGTTTGCATAACATACATTGTGACTAAGGGGGGTTTGAAGAGAATTTAAACTTAGCATCGTAGGAAGGACAATAATTTTTGAAAGTCTCGAGTAAAATTCTGCGGTATTTTGGAAATACGCCCTTGAATAGCATTACAATGATTTGCTATATTGCAAAAAAATACAGTAAGTACAAAAGAAAATATTTTGTTAGATCATTTTGTTATTTTGCTAGAGATTTGTTGTTGTTTTGTTGGTAGTTTTGAAATATTTAAGTTAGGTTCATACCGAAAAAAAAGTGAAGTTGATTTAACCATTCTGGATGTAAAAAAAGTGTGCAAGAACGTAAAAAAAAGCTGGATTACCCGCCGCAGCAGTAGTTTCACATCTTAGCATTGCTGGAGTAACTGCTGTGGCAGTTAATTCAGAATTTTATATGTTCTCGCACTCTTTTTTTACACCAAGAATGTTAAATCAACTTCACTTTTTTCGGTGCACAGTTACCTTGATGTTTTTCAAAATCGTAAACTTTTTTCCTCTGAATTTTGTATTTTTTACGATGGGAAATAACTTGTACTCTACAAGGGTGCATTTTTGAAGGTATAGTATTGGACTCAGTGGCGTGGCGTGACGGATCGATTATCGATACATCGCCATTTGAAGCTATGGTAAAGAATCGATTACTAAGGTGTTCGCTGCGAACGCCCTGATAATCGATGTTTTTCCATAGGTTTAAATGGCGAATCAATCGATATATCGCAAAGCACGCCACGCCACTGAAATTGGACTTCCAGGTTGGCAGAATGTCCTTTTTATGATGCTATCTTGAGGGTTTCCTCAACACCCCCCCCCCCCCCTAATCTCGATGTAAACCAAGAAGGGCCTCTTACTTAAAAGAGTTATTTAAGGAACAACCAATGCTCATAGTCGTTCCTTCAAAAAGCTTTTATTCCCAAGAGGCCCCATATGATCTACATTGTGACTAAGAAAGGTTTAAGGAAACCTGCAAATCAGCTTCATAAAAAAAAAACGAGTTCGGCAAACCTCGACTAAAATTCAGCAGTACAACTTTGGGAATGGGCACTAGCAAGCAACGGATTACGGTGATTTGCCCCCGCAAAAATACAAAATACAGCAGAAAAATTCTATGCTACTAACAAACTTTAAGGTAGGTGCAAATCTACCTTAATTAGAAGGCCCCGCTTGGTTTACATAATGATCAAAGAAGGTTTAAGGAAACCGTCTAGATAGCATCATAAAAACGTGTTTCCAACGTCGAGTGAAGTCCGCTTGTCCAGTGGCGTGGCGTGCTTTGCGATATATCGATTGTTATGCCATTTAAACCTATGGAAAAGGATCGATAAACAGGGTGTTCGCAGCGAACGCCTTAATAATCGATTCTTTACCATAGGTTTAAACGGCATAACAATCGATATATCGCATTTCACGCCACGCTACTGGCTTGTACACCTTTGAAGATGGGCCCTACATGTAGGGTTGGTCACCGCAAAAAGTACACACTATATCGACGGTAAGCCTCTGAATTTGAGAAACACCAAGGAAGCGTCTTAAAAGAAGGAGCTACTATGAATCTAACCCTAAGATTGCACAACATGAAGAGGCAACTAGTTGTCGCCGCCATAGGCCACAGTCAACTAGTGGTCGCGCCGCGGCCGCACAGTGGATCGAATCAATGGGGAAGATCGGACAAAGTTTGGCAACTTCAAAAGCCCATTACTCCTTCTATACAAAACTTTGAGGTTTTAAAAGTGGTCCCATTGGTTTCCTCGTGAAATTTTCTCCTATGAGTATCCATTGAAATTCAAAATGTGACGAATTAAACGTCAAAATGTGCAGTTTTTGTCAAAAATTGCTTGTCCGACCCCTCTGATTGACTCGATCCACTGTGAGCCGCCTCGACCTGCGCACATGCACAACGCTGCGGGCTGATTTTTGAAAATGACATACGAAGTGATAGAGATGGAAGCCAAAAGGAAAAAGAAAAGCAATCTTACAGCGGGCTAACTGTTGACATTGATAGACAAAGCTATATACAAATAAGACCAAAGGGATATGGAGGGATCCTATTGGTGGAAGCGGATGTTCGCAACGGACCAAGGAAATAGGTAATAGACTAAGTAGCGGCAATCCAAAAAATACCCTAAAGTTAGTCTATCATTGACCCCCTTAGTCTATAAGACCCTCCCATTTCAACCAATAGGATCGCTCCATACTTCCTATGTCTTCTTCGTCTATTGCTTTTTCTATCAATTTCAACAATGAGGTCGAAACAGGTGGTTTTTGTAGACGAAGGGAGAATCTTTGGACTAACTATAGGGCCTCTCACAGATTGGCGTTAGGTAGGAGATGTTGCATTTGTGAGGAATTTGCGATTTGACTACTGATTCTTATGTAAAAGTTGGCGAGAAACACGATGGTGCCACTGGTTTTCTCTGAAATCAACTCCCAAGCTCAAAAAAAGCCCTGAAGTTGAAACCAAAATGGAGGGGATTTCCCACGCTATCCTGAGCGTCCACCTCTACATCAAAACAAACTCTCCATGCAAAAATAGGGAGCAAATACATTAGCAGGGTTGCCGTGTTTTCAGTTTTGGAGTCCCGAAATAAAGTGGCAGCCCTGTCAATGTAGTTGCTCCCTATCTTTTCATGGAGAGTTTGTCTTGATAGAGGGGGACTCTCAGATAGCGTGGGATATCCCCTCCATTGCGCCCTCAACTTGAGAGCTTTTTTTGAGCTTGGGAGTTGATTTCAAGGAAAACCAGTGGAACTATCGTTTTTCTCGCAAACTTTTACAAAAGAATTAATATTTGAATCGCAGATTCCTCACATATGCAACATCTCAATGGAGATGTTGCATGTATGAGGGATTTGCGATTTGACTGTTGTTTCTTATGTAAAAGTTCGCGAGAAACACGATGGTCCCACTGGTTTTCTCTGAAATCATCTCCCAAGCTCAAAAAAAGCTCTTAAGTTGAGGCCAAAACGGAGGGGTTATCCCGCCCTACCCTGAGAATCCACCTCTACATCAAAACAAGCTCTCCATGCAAAGATAGGGAGCAACTACATCGACAGGGCTGCCACTTCATTTCGGGACTCCAAAACTGAAAACGCACGGCAACCCTGCTAATGTATTTGCTCCCTATCTTTGCAAGGAGAGTTTGTCTTGATGTAGAGGTAGACTCCCAGATAGCGTGGGATATCCCCTCCATTACGCCCTCAACTTTGAGAGCTTTTTTTGAGCTTGGGAGTTGATTTCAAGGAAATCCAGTGCCACCATCGTGTTTCTCGCGAACTTTTACATTAGAATTAACAGTCAAATCGCAAATCCCTCACATATGCAACATCTGCGTTGCCTACCTTTTGGCCTACCCATGACAACCACTAGCATCCACCGATAAGATCTCTTCACTCTCCCCTCGTCGTCTTGGTCTATCGCTTTGTCTATCAACTTCTGGTTCAATTTCTGGTCTGGTTTCTGGTTTCTGGTATGAATTTATGGTTTCGGACTCACCTCGATCCGGCTCTGCGTACTTCCTTCTGTTGATGAGGAAGGCTCGGGGCATATTTCCTTCTCCGGCGGGAAACGCGCACCACCTCGTCACATCGCAAACGGCACATCGGGACTGACACCCCGGGGGGAGAGCAACAGGAGTTTTATTTACAGGCCTCCACGACTCGCCTGCCGCGAGGCCCTAAAAATAAACCCCGGCGGCAAGGAGGGCCCTGGCGCGTGCCCGCTGCAGCCCCACGCCGCGACCCCCCCCGCCCCCGGCCCCTCGTGCCGCCTCGGGGGCTCTCCTCGGCGCGGCTCGTGGGGACTGCCGGGCGAACAAGTGGTCGCTCTCCAGTCCTCGCTCTGGAGGTTACGCCAGGTTTGGCTCGAAGTGGAGTCCCTTTATAGAGAGAGAGTTAAGGTGATTCGTCAAGCTCAAGTGGCTTGGTCGCACTGGCATGCGATGTATCGCATTGATTAGGTCAAAAATCTCGGCAGATTTTGAATTATTAGCAAAACGAAGGACGCTAGCCCCTGCGCATGAGCCCAATCATTTCTACGTTTTTTCTTGTTCTTCTCATTTTGTGTTTTCTATTAGGTTTGGTTTTCCTTTCTGAGTGTCTTTCATCTTTTTGGGTTGGTTTAATTTTAATAGTAAGTCCTTTCCTCATTTAGTTCCTTTGGGAACTCCTTTAATTTTAATTCCTTTTATAGTAGCGATTGAGACTATTCAAATCTATTTGAAATCATTCTAAACCCCAAAATCGGCAAAATTCAGAGAAATAGAAGCAGAAAAGTGCTTGGAAAAAAACCTCGCATTCGATTCAGCTATCGATTTCCGTATTTGTATTTTGTCATGGGAACGGAGTTCCCCATGATATTAGAATCGTTCCGTTGCTTTCACTATGGGATTCCCTATACCTCTGCGACCTTGAGCGTTTCGCCCAGTCTCCGATTTTTGGTTGATTTTCCGATGTATCAAAAACCGTTGTATTTTTTAGCCAATCATGTCTCTACGTCAAGTTGTGTTGATTGCTAAAATTCGCTTTCAGCGAGTTTTTTTCCACCTTGAGATGTCGTGTCTGACTGGTAAATCTGCGCAGAACCACGAAGTTCCGTTTTTAGGCAAATTCTTTTTTTTGGGAGGTTCTGATTGGTTATTTTTCGCCATCAGTTTTCTGTTCGTTGGTGCAAAAGATCGCCTACCTCGGTGTTCTTGAGAAGCCGCCATTATCCCACCTCAAATTTGAAAAATAGAAGTAAAGAAATAATAACCATCGTACAAGGTGGAAAATTGTTCTGGAGGACTCGTTACGGATAAAGAAGTCAAAATCAGAGCTCGATTGATTGATTTAATTCATGGATACGCAAATATTGCCTTAGCTCAACTGCCGCGATCGGAATGCGTGCTGGCATGAACCTCGAGACGCATTAAAACAGTGCGAACCATGGCTCCTACAGCAAAACAGCAATGCGCTTCATATCATCCCAAAAGCAGTCAAGGTCTCTTGTGATAAGTCCCGCCCATTGCCCGAGTCTTTTGTATGCTATTTTTACTCTCGCCCACGTGGATCCATTATAGCCTAGTTGACTAAACCGCCTCGTATTTTTGATTCGGTGCGGGCACCCGGCGATCGGGAGTTCGATACCCGACGATGGGAACTACTTTTTAATGGTTGTATTGAATGTTTTAGACTAATCATCAAAAAATAATTAATAGTAGATGATAAATGTACGAACATTTTCTCGTGAGTTAATATGTTAAACAAAAATACTGGAATATACCTCCTTCATATAATCAGCCACATGTTCCCCCAAATTAATGACGTTATTTTCTTTTTTCAATAAAGTTAATTTGCATTCAACGTTCGTAAGTTAAGCAAAAAGTACCTATTGATACAAATAGAAAGACATGAAAATAGTATGTCTGACATTTCAGTTTTTTTTTTTTTTTTATTTATTTTTTGTTTTTTTGTTTTTTCAATAAAACAAATTGACTGGGACTAGAATCATCGTATCTCTGAAGACAAAAGCTAAGTTTTTTGATACAGAAATACTAATATATTCATCCTTTATATAATCAGGGAGATGTTGACCCAAATATTGATGTATATTTTCTCTGTTCGCCCAAATTAATGATGGTATTTTCTTTTTTCAATAAAATTAATTTACATTCCACGTTCTTAAAGCAATATTTTCTCCAAAATTCAGCAAAAAATAACAATTTATACCTACGCAAAAAGTAAATAAATAAATAAAGCAATGACATGAAAGTAGTATAGGTAGTACACATCTAACATTTCGGTTACATCTATTTGAATGAAAAAAATGGCAACTTAGGAAGCACATAGGTCACTTATCGACGGTGAAACTACCAAACCACGTATCTCGGTTTGCGACGTCGCAGACTTCCTGTCATACTTTATTTTTTGAATGAAAAGCTACTCAACGTCCAGTCTTGAAAATTTCCGTGATTTTTCCTCTTCGTGCGGAGAAAATTCTGTGAAAATTTCAAGGAATGATATTGATTTGGTCTACTTCAAAAAAATAAAATGTGAGCGGAGATTTTTAAACACCGCAAACGAGATACGTGGTTTGGTAGTTTCACCGTCGTTATGATGCGTATTCGGGCATATGCGTAGAGTAAAAATATCATACTTTACGCCGAAAAAACGAAACTGAAAGTTAAATGCGTTAACTTTCAAAAACCATACATAATCCAACGAAAATAAATAATTGGTAAATAACAGCTTTCTTGTATGCAAAGAAAAAAAATTAAAAATGTTAAAAAAGAGATGTCGACACAAAATTACATAGCCCCTTCAATTCTGAAGATACTACTAATGAACTGTACCTTAAAATTTTCATATCCCAGAAGCAAAAGTTCCCATGACGAATATTGCTATCGCTAGCGATTGCAAAAACCAACTTGTTTAGGTTTAGAATGATTCTTTAGGCTCATGCGCAGGGGCTATTATCCCTTTTTTTGCTAAAAATTCAAAATCTGCCGAGATTTTTTACCTAATCGATGCGATATATCGCATGCCAGTTCGACCACGTCACTTGAGCTTGACGAATCACCTTATGACAACGTGGCTCATGGATGTCACAAACGGAAATAAAGATTACATAAATTGAACGTTTTTCGTAATGTCTGATCAACTCGTTGCCATTAGGTTTAGAATGATTCTTTAGGCTCATGCGCAGGGGCTATTATCCCTTTTTTTGCTAAAAATTCAAAATCTGCCGAGATTTTTTACCTAATCGATGCGATATATCGCATGCCAGTTCGACCACGTCACTTGAGCTTGACGAATCACCTTATGACAACGTGGCTCATGGATGTCACAAACGGAAATAAAGATTACATAAATTGAACGTTTTTCGTAATGTCTGATCAACTCGTTGCCAAATTCTTATCTTCATTCCGTTTTTTCCTTGCTTGCCCCTAATTCCTCGGTCCATTCCAGTTTATAGACTTTGCAATTAGTGAAAATGTAATATTTATTCCCGTTTGTGACACTGCGGAGGCCTGAAATGGACCGAGTCCATCATAGAAGAACCAACCCACATTAGGTTGAAACTGAGCAAAGAGGTCTGAAGTTTTATTCCTGCATTAAGGCTCAATGTAGAAAATAAACTTTAACCCCTCTTTTCACAAACGAATTTCTGCATGCTTTTTGACTTTCAGTTTTTGGCAGGAGAAAATATACGGCTAGTGGAACTCAAAAACATTTTTAACTCAATTTTTTCGAAAATGTGGGTTGGTTCCTTTCTGATGAACTCAGTCCAAATAAGACAACCAACCAGAAATGGGTTCGTATTGTCTTCACTCTCAGTATGGAGGGACTCTAGCGCAAGGCGACCGGAGATACGTGCTGTTGCACTTCGACCACCAAATTGCTAAATGATGGATCAGGATCTTCGTCATCTACTGAAAGTAGCTTAAAATCTCCATCTAGTTCAAACCTGATTTTGAGGTTTCGATCACCAATGGCCTGAAGTTTTGGATATGGTCCCATGCATACAACCACTAGACAAGGTACGAATTTCAGCATTCTGATTCATGTTTCTTAACCAAAATTTCACGTAAAACACGATGCGCACAATAAAAATTACCGATATCAACTAGTTACGAAGATATTTAATGATTTTCTGATGCGAGAATTGAAACCACCCGCTCATGAAAACTCATTGCTGTACGTGATTCACATCGGGCGCTAAACGTTATTATGACAGTCTCTGCGATATAAAAATCTGGCAACTTCAATCTTGACGCTTTGGCTCAGCTATAGCTAATTACTTATATTTTGAATAACACATGGTGGGAAATGAACATTGCTCGATTGAGAAGCTTGCTGAAACCGTCGTAGTGCGCGATTTGATTAACGTGGAGCTTTGAGTTTTTTGTGAGCGGGCAGTTCAAATTCCTCGTAACCAATGTGAAATAAAAATGTTAATATCTCCGTTAGGAGTTGGTTTCAGTAGGTAATTGAATCAGTGAGTTCGAAAACACACCAACTCGGGTTTTTTTCGATTTTCACTTGTTTACGGTTTAGTAACACTTATGTTTAGAAGCATCTGCACGCAAACGGAAATTTCAAAATTGCAATTGAAAGTGCTCGAAACAGCGACGGGAAAAGGGAAAAATCGAAGTATTTAATTAGAAATATCAATTTTTGGCCATTTCAAGGGAAACGGGTGACATCCGATTTTGCGGTTTTCTTTTTTCGGTTCAGCGTATCTTGTACCAACAAGTTATATAAATATTCAAACGTTATTCAGGTCAAAAAATATAAACTTTCCTGGGCAGACTATGAAAAATCAGTATCTGAAAGTCGGCGAGAACGAAAACACACCAACTCGGAAATTTTGAAACGCTTAATTCTCTGTCATCAAACATGGTGTATCGATTTCAACTTGGTGCTTTACAAAGTCTCTATGTACTTGTCCTTTGGCACCCAAAAGGTTTTTCTTAAACTAACTTCTTCGCCCGCGGCGCAGTTTTAGGTGTTTCCTGAACAATTTTTTTTTCCCGAGTTGGTGTGTATTGGAACTCACTGGTTCAATTTTTGTTGCACGAATCATGTTCTACGTGAAATTCTGGTGAAGAAACTTAAATTCGTACCTTTTCTAGTGGTCCATCGAGACATTGTAACTCAGGGTACAAAGGGACTCAAGTTTTGTGTGCCAAGAAGACGAAACCCCTCCGCAGGTGAACTAACAACTTCTTCGATCCAAAAATAGGCCGAAGAACTTCGGGTCTCAACCAAGTTCTTACCTGTTGGTCGAGGGGCAGCCACTCCTGGCCCGCAGAGCGCGTTGGACAGGTTGCATCCCAGCGTTGGCACGGCGCCAAGCTCGCCAAAAGCGTTTCCACTTCAACCACTTGCTCCGACAACGTGAGGCGCAACACGTTGGCTATTATCCCCCCCTTCTTCTCGTTTTGGTTTCGTGTACTCTTCCCTCTCTCCGACTGCAGTCGTCGAGATATGGTCAGCATCTGGAATGCGATCTCGAGTTCGATGCAGCATCCGAATTAATCGAGCGATTCCCGTTCCGCATCACAGACATATACAGGGCGTAGAGAAAACTAGGGGGCTATGCCCCCTGGCCGCTACGCGGCCCAACCCCCAGAGGACGCTTCGCGTTCTCTTAGGCCCGCGTCGATAAAAGAACGGCCAAAGAAAATGAAAATATTTTCATACCCGACTCTCATTTGGACGTATTTACCAAACAGACCTATGAGGAGGTGAGAAATATGGGGTGTGCTCGTTCGTTCTCCGGCCGTAAGAGCGAGTGGGAATAATAAAGCGCCAGTGACGTCAGCGGCAATGATAGTGCGCACGCGCGAGGGGGAGATCGTCGTCAGGGCGCTTTAACTCGTGAGCCCTGTCCACAACGCTATCTTGCCATGCCCGCGGCTCATGGATCTCGCATTCAGTTGGGACATAGGTCTGTTTGATAGAATGTAAAATCCCGCTTTTCCAATTCTTCAAAAGGAATCACGCCCACTTTTACATTGCTTCTTATGCAGCTTTCTAGCGCACACCCTATATGTCTCACCTCCACATAGGTCTGTTTGGTAGAAATACGTCCATTTATCCAATCTCCCTCTGGCCGGGAGCAATTGGACCAATAAGAATCGAATGAAAAAATCGGCATTTATTTCAAACTTCACTCCAAGACTTACACGAAACGGAACGGAGCGTTACGTCGCTTTTGAATAGTCTATAGCAATGGAGCATACCTCCGATTCACTTACCCTACTAACAGACCAAGATTCAACATTTCCCGCTTACTTCAATTTTCCGCTAAATTTGAAATTCCCGCCATTTTCATTGGCGGGAATTTCAAAGTTTGTCCCCTTTTCTAAGCTTTCTGTTCTCCTCTAATATAAAAAAAAAACTTGAGTCCTATTTTCAAAGTCTGATCACAGCGGGCTCATCTAGGGACTATCACCTGTCGATAACCGCAAAACTTATGGAAATCGGCCCCGTAGAACGCTCAAACGAACTATGACAAAAAATAAAAAAATATATTGTTTAATTGGAAAAATTCGCAACTTTACCATGTAATATAAAAAAACTCGGGTCATATTTTCAAAATCTAAATATAGCGGGCTTATTAAGAGACAATTGTCTGTCGATAGCCGCAAAAATCATGAAAATCGGCCCGGTAGAACGCTGGAACTAAGCGTTACCAGAAACGCAAATTTAGGAGGTCTTGGAGCTTATATATATGATGATGATGATATATGATATAGAAGGTGGTGGCAAGTAAAGAAATGTACTTTTCTACGTCACAGCTAAAAATGAAGCCGCCCTTCTGATTGGTCAAGAGAATCGCGGGAAAACCGAGACCTCTTTGAATTTCAAAAAGAAGCGGGAATGGTTGTGAGGCTCCCACCAATTTTGGCTCTAGAAACTCGTAACCATGACTTTTAATGTTTCAATATGTTTTTCTATCAATTTTCGACTGTAACTGAAAATTATTTGTGAATTAAAAATATATTGTTCATTTAATAACAACTTTTATCCCGACATATAGCGTGATTACGTATGCATTCAAATCGCAGATCTCCTACTTCAGCTGGGTTTCCCGTCCCTACAATATTATCAATGTTTTTAAGTTTTTAAGGTTGGCTCGGGGGGCTATGATGCCAACCCCTCCTTCCTCCTCGTTGAATTACGAGTATATGAGTGTGAACGTGTCAATGACAAGCCCTTGTGGGGGGCTGGTGGGAGGAGGCTCACTCCCCCCCCCCCCCCCCCC